ACCATGACCCTTAGTTGAAATGTGCGGCCTAACCGTACACACTAATTCACCATGATGCAGTCCAACTACACTAATCCCTGTACCTTCACGCTATTGGTTGTAGCGTCCGCAGTAGTTTTATCCTTTTCCGATCACTGACTGATGAGTTATTCAACAAAATGTTAAGCATCGGCATTATTATATTTCTTGATTTACGTTTACTGCGCCATTTAACATTTTGCTAAATTTCTCAGTACCTAGTGATTGTAAAAAGACGATTAATAGCTCGTTGGAATCGCCTCATCAAGACGAATCGAATGGCGGTAAGCTCATCTCTCTGTGATCAATATTGACGGAGTTACTACTTAAAACCATTTAATATTTTTTAATTTCGGAAATAATCTAGTGATTAGATTTCGATGTATTTTATACCATTAGATTCGTCGCATTAAGACGAATCGAATGGTAGTAAGATTGTCTCTCTAGGATCAATATTGGCAGAGTTATTACACAAAAACCATTAATATTTTTTTAATTTCGGAAATTAATCTAGTGATTGGATTTCGATGTATTTTATACCATTAGAACCGTCTCATCAAGACGAATCGAATGGCGGTAAGATCATCTCTCTACGATTAATATTGGCGGAGTTACGATACAATAAAGTTTTGAGTATAATTTTAGCTAAAATTATGTTAATTTTTGGCCGGAATTATGATATACTAATATAAGAAATTTTTTATATAGTCACATCTCTTTATAATCACCAAATATGGACTGTCCCAAATGTGTAACTATAAAGAGAGTTGACTGTATAACATATCAGATATAGGAAAATTGACTGACGTTTATAGAAAGATGAGTAAGATTATTTTCAATTAAATTGAACGCTGGATAAATAGTTTGATTTTTCAAATTCATAAAAATCAATTAATTAATTTAATTAATTATAAAATATGTAAAAATATCAATTTTTTTTTTGAAGAAATTGTTGATTTAATAATAGATTATTATAACCAAATCCATATCTGAAATTCTCTAAATAACTACCAGATTTTTGAATAAAGATTGTAATTCTGATAAATAAACAAAAACAAAAAATAAAAAACATACCCTAGTAGTCACAAAGAAGAACTGAGAGACCTAAAAAGAATGAATTCAAAATATAAAATGATCAGCTCATTAATTGGCCAAATGTACAAATTTAATAATGAGGTCATATCACCGCCGGGTAAATTATATAGGTTCAATCACCCTAGGTGAAAAATTATTAAATCGCAAACGTCAAATCATTAATATAAGCTATATTATAGTAAATATAATTTATATCATTCTAATATTATACATATAATTTAAAAACAAAAAAACTACTATAACCATCTTTAATTTACTTAGTATTACATTATAATACTAAAATTTTCTATTTGAAACAAATTCATTGGTCCCGGTGTGAAGCAATGGGTTACTGCTAGTTATCTACAATATTTTTTAGTAATTTTACCACAGTACGCCAGCTTAAATATATACCTCTACACAATATCACCGGGTTCAAGAATCTATCAAAAAATGTTTGTCAATAATATTAATATCATGAGACAAATTTTTTACCAGAATACCCGATGGTTTGGTAATTACTATTAATACATGTTTGAATTTGTACCATAAAAGATATAATAGGGTGTGCAATAGTCAAAAAACTCAAATCAGAGTAATTTTCTAGTTCTTCATTTCTTCTAAAAGGTAATTATTAATTTATTATTTTTCATTACACACAAAAATGATTGAATGATTGAATTATAGAAATTCATACCATCTAGCACCTGTCTAAAGTACCCTGGGTCTTTTAAATTTTATCCGATTTGAAAATTGAATAATACCCGTGGGTACTTTATGAGATACCGGGTATTATATGAGGGGGCGGCATTTTATAATTTTCCAGAATTATAAGAGGGATATTATTTATAGGATTTGTTAGGTCGGTCCTGGTCCGGTCCTGGTTCTGGAACCTATGAGTCTTATTGAACGGACCTGTGGACCTGGTCCTGAACTAGGTTATTTATGGATATAATGATAACTAAATATAAAAAGTAAAAAAAGTGAGTTGATTCATGGTTCTTAGGACTTTTTAGAACCTGGTCCACTTCTGGTCCAAAATTTGAATCTAAATATCTGCTGACCAGGTCCTAGGACTTTACCATTTCTAGGTATTAACCAAGAGTAAAATGTTTGTATCTAGTATAAAAATACCAGGTCTTTTAAAGTGGGGTACGCTTAAAGGGAAATACTTTAGGCAGTGATAGACGGTATATATATATATAGCATAAATGAATTTAAAAGTCATTGGTTTTCTTAATTCACCGCCAGTTACCTTGTCATTTTACAGCAATTGGATTAAAATCTGTCACTGTAGCCTGTACATAAAGTCAGTTTTTTGCTACATTTGGTGGTATATACATTACTTTTCTAATAAAACTCATGTTTACAAGTGTATTTTTGGAGGACCATATTTATCAAATAAGTTAGCGCAAATTTTTAATAATGTAAATTGGGGAACTAAATATTATAACAGAAACAAAATGATTTTGGTGGTAACTAACCTTGATGATATAGACAGAGGAAAATCCTCTTGATAGAAAGCGAAAATATGCAATTAACTCACAAAAAAAATCACGATATAAACGATGTGAAGTGGTTATTAAATTAAAACCTTGACTGGAAAAAGATGCAAAGAGTAATAAGTGTGAAGGTGGATTTTTGCACGTGCACTTTTGGATACAAAAAAAGGATAATATAATCATTTTATAGTAAATATGTAATTTTTTGTTGCTAAAGACTTTGAATATAAAAAAAACATGTCATAATGCCTAGTATCTGTAGGAATAAAATAATTTGATGAACAATATAATTTTTAAAAATGACTTTACGTGATTTATAAAATATTTTAGCATCAAAAAAAAGCATTTATGAATAAAAATAAAAAGTTCCCAAGCTTAAAAGAATTAGAGCAAGTGAAAGGGAGAATTAAAGGTTTAGGTAACCGGAAAGGGTAGTAAATTTTTGATCAGATAATAAAATAAAATCGTAAACAAAATTACAAATCCCGAACTGAAAAAAAATTTAAGAAATGAAATTATAAAGAAACATGAGCCAAAATTGATTCACACCAAAGGTAATTAATTCTCATTGATAAATAAACTAAAATCAAAGATACATACCAAGGGTGATTAAATCCCATCAATAAATGAACAAAAAAATCAAGAGACACGAACCAAAATTAAGATATACAGTACGTCAAGGTCTCAGTAATAATGAACCAAATTAAATGTAAGTAAGTTAAAAAACAAGTAAAAGAAAAAAAGCCCAAAGACAGTTAAATAAAGAAAGAATGAGTATTAGGACAAAAGAACAAAAACAAAAGCATTAGATAATCCCAGAAATGAAATATTAGACAAAAGAAACGAAACAATACCTAAAAATGAAATAAAAGAAATAACCGCACATCATTAAAAAACTGTACAAAAGAATAGAAAAAAGAAATTCCTAGAGGCCTAAAAAAACTAAACTTACTATTAATCGGCATTTTCAGTCTAAGCTTAGTATTATCGGCCTTAACCACAAAATTCTCAGCCTCAAGCTCGAGCTTTCAGGTTGGTTTAGTTCTTTATATATGTAACTCTGATCTTGAACAAAGTGATTTTTATTAAAAAAATTTATTAATACACGCGAAAAGATAAAGTCTGGGACGTAGCCGTACATGCGAAAAAATAAACACAAGTGGGGACTTTGTCCACGATACATGAATTACATAATGGTTCTATGTTAATAAATAAAGCTACTTATGCTACTAGAATATATTTTTTTCGCTTACTTCGGCATGCAGGAGTCGAGATGTTTGCTAAAGCAAACTGATCCTAATTTGATTATTCCGCAAGGTCGCCTGATGACTTTATCCTTTTTATGTCTCTCTCGTTACCTATGGTATCAGCTGAATCTGATTTCTGCGCCTCATCCAATAACCATGAAATATGTCCAAGAACTCTTCCAACATCACTTTCCGTATTAGTTATCATGCACAACTATTACCGGCTTTGATAGCTTGAATCTTGGTTATCCGCATCGGTGACAAGCCCGAAAGTTTTACCCACAAACACACTTCCTTCTGAAATCTCGCTAACTACCAGAATAACGACTTTAAATACCAAGGTGATGTATTCTAAATAAATTTCAAGGACCTGTCGATAATCTCATCAATTTTATGTATTCTATGGAATTCATTCACTGAAAAGATATTGTAGTTACATTATTAGCTATTCCAGGCGAAATAATTTTATTCAAGAACATGGTCTTTTATGCATGGCAGTTATATGGAAGAAAAATATTGGACCTCTATCCTTACTGCGGAGCAAATTAATCCGAAGAACCTTGTTTCTTTACAATCTGGGAATTCGCTATATTGATCTTAAAAAGTCTCTTGAGACCAAAAGGTTTGAATAAAGAGACTGTTTTAAAAAATGAAATAATCAGTTTTTTTTATGAATGAAAATTACTTTTGAATTTTTTTTTAAAAAAATTGAAAAACTAAAGGCCTGAAGCTTTCCTTTTATTCACATTTGATGAAATTTGTAATATAATACCCATCATTATTAAGAGTGATAAAGTGATGTCATTAATATCTGAACTAACCCGACTATCTAAATCTAAAAGATATAATAGATTAAGCTGTACGCATGCAGCCGTGAGTGCGTAAATTATGCATATAAGAAATTTACATAACTTTCAGGTTGTATTATTCGTGCTTGTTAGTTTTAGAAAAAAGAAAATTTTAGCCAAACTAATTTCTAACTTTAATTTTATGACATTATTACATTATTGTAATAAATTATTAAATCGCTAGCGAATTGGAACAGTGATATTTTGAGTATTAGAATTACGATCCGGGTTCGTGAAAACTGGCCTATAAATTTATATTTTAATTCCGGTTTTCAAAATATGATCAAATACAGGTCTCTATGGTTATTTGATTTTTGTAGTTTTCATAATCGAAAAGAATCCTACCAATCTGATAAAATATTTTATGATGATAATTTTTATTTAACTCGTAAAATAACTGATAACAAATTATGTTTGAATGAATAAATACTATGGAAATTATGAATTTCCTACAATTGGATATGCGAAAAAAGTACATAAAAAATATTATTTTATAAATTCATAATATTAAATTATTGTATTTACAGCACATTGTAGAAGGTGGTCACAGAGAGTGAAGAAACTTCAATTATTTAAGTAGTTTTCCTATGAGCAAGGGTTAAACTTTGTGTAATACCAACATATATTCAAGAGAAACTACTACTTAAATAACTGAAAATTTCCCATGATTTATAGTTATTTAGGAAAAATCCGGGTTTTCCCGATTTGTGAATACCGATTTCTTTAGAGGATGACTTAGGTCGCACTAATTTGAAAACGACGATAAATAAATGATGTAATATTTCTTCTTAATTTGGTTAGACAATTTACCATCATTTAAGAAAAAGGAACCATTATCATCGAATGTTTATCATTTTGTTTCTTTCTTTTCTTGAAATTTCCTTAAATTATGGAGTTACCCAAATACTCTGGAACAATTCATCCTCAAGAATGGTTAAAACAAGTACTAATTTTTTGTTATTTTAAACAAATTAAAGATGATAAAGAAGTCTTAAATATTTGTAAAACTATGATAAATTCCACCATAATAATTCCTAACGTAAATGAAATTAAATCTTTTGAAGAACTTATTGAAGCTCTTAAATTACATTCAACCTTTAATACTTTTAAAATTTCATGCAAAAGAAAATTACAAATGATGAAATTCATTCCTGAACAACATGATGATATTGCAACATTCCTTGCTAACTTTCATTCACTTTGTAATGATGCGGAAATTAATGATCATGAAGAAATCATAACCCTGCTTATTAATTCATATTCAAACTACTTCTTTAAAAGTGAATTTATAAAAAGAGTGGAGGGTATTAATTCTGTAGATGAAATATTTAAAATATTTAGTGAGGTTGTATTTGACGAATTAAAAATAATTAAATTTGGGTCTTCAATCGCTCTGAAACATGTTGCAACAGGAAAATATTTATCAAGTTGTAATGTTAATTATAAAACAGGTTCCAATCAACGAGTGGCATGTATTTTAATTACATTTCAATTATTTAATCAACTTATGTCATTTTATTTATAACTTTTTTATATTTTAGGTATTTGCTGGTGAAAAATTTCCAGATGAAGATGCTTTATGGTATGCGACTACTAGTCACAACTTCCAGCATTGTACTTATGATGATGGCTTTGATTTGACTCATAAAGTAACCGGTAATAAATTAGGCATTAATTCTAGTTATAGGTCTCCTACAACTGGACATTTTGAAGGTATATGTAAACGTTAATAATATATAAAAAACTATTTTTAATAATTATTTGTTTATTTACTATATTTATTTTACAGTAAATTGTAGAAATGGAAGTAGTTCTTTAAATTGGATAAATACTAATACAACAAATAATAACGCACCTTACGTAAAAGCAAAAGATGTAATTGCTTTAAAATGTGGTATTTCTATTTTCCGTAGTCATGATTTCACATTTACAATTGGAAATAAAACTTTTCAAGAAGTCGTTGGTCACAATGAAAGAATTGGTGGAAATGATGAGGTATTTAGATTTAATTTAATTTACTCAATATTATATCTTCGTATTTATTTATTTATTTATAATTTTTTATTTACAGTGGCAAATTGAAATTGTTTAAAATGATGAGAAATTTATTTTTGATTATTTATTTATATCCATAAAAATTTACATTATTGGCTGGTTTAAAAATGCAGAGTTAATATTGATTACTTAAATTCCTAAAGGCTGTATTTTATCAAGACAAAAGTAGTATATTATCAAATTAGTTTATTTTTTTCCATTGATGGTATGAATCAAATTAGAATAAAAATTCGCCTGTAACAATTACAGAATTAGTGATCAATCAATTATAGTTACAACAAACTAGTAATAACGTGTTTAGAAAATTTTTTAAGTGAATCATAAACGGTAAAGCAGCTAATTAAATAAATATTTTATGAGTAAATGGAATAAATGTGTTTATATTACTATGCTGTCTGAGAAAATCAATGAAAATTTTTCATAGTAATTGAGAGCTATAATTTCCTTAAGCATAACGTAATAACGTATCCACATCATTGTATCTTTTGACACCATCCACTAATATCATTTCGACATCAGAAGTTTTGGCCAAGTGATCGAATAAGAATGATATTTTTTAAACTTTCGAAATTATAAATAGAGCTGTTATTTTTCATTGAAATTGTCTTCTCCTTAAATATACCCGAAATATGGCTAAAACATGTTAACACGTTAATAAATACAGCATCATATACAAATTTGGTAAATCTAGTAATAATACCATGTAATAATGACCTTCCCCTGCGCAACCACCAAAAAGTCACGAAATTCAGTATTATGGCATTTGGCCTGCATTAAGAAGTTAATAAATAATGTGAATGATAAATTAAGTTAATGGAGCTTCTCTTTTTGGATGACCCATTTATAAATAAATTTAATTTATCCTTTAAGCTAAGAATTTTCTTATATTAATAGTATGTGGTATGACAGAATCGAGTACTTTGAGCAATATTTGTTTTACAATGGCTTCGTTAAAAATAATTTTATTGAATAAATTTTTATAATTTTATAATGGGATGATGTAAAGCTCGTCTCGGATAATTAATTTCTATGTAATGTTAACCTGGAATCATATTCTCAAAAAAAAAAAAAACTCATAAATTATTTAATATTGTTTTGACAGTAAACAGGATTCTATAAATTATTAATAAGTAGTATTAATTATTTTATTATTTTCTAATTAAATTTATCATAAGAGTAATTATAAAGGTTCATAATATACTTTCATTTGTTTATTTTTATATTCAATTAAAAACTTTATTTTATTAAGAAACCTTATGTATTTTCTATTTAATCACCGTCTTTTCATTTTCGTGTTCTGCGAAGAGCGAGTAATATGATGTCTGATTCTTCATAAATACGCGTATTTGAACTTGTCAATACCTCTAACCCTACAAAGTGAGGTTTTAAGAATCGAATTTTAACATTTATTTTCGCTCTTATATCTTTCTTTGAAGAATGAAAATGTCAAAATGATAAAAATTATCGCAATGATACCATTGCAACGCACAAACTCTTTGGTGACAAGACAGTTCATTTCTATCTGGACATTATAACTTGGTCTATCAAAGTGAGAGTTATATATCAAATATTGCTATTTAATTATATAAAAGATATCAGGGTCAAATCGTCTATTGACCAATATTTAATTTTTGATTTTCTTATTTAAGATTTCGTATATTTATTTACCTACGGAAAAAATTCTAACTTCATTTTAGAAAGTTTCAGAAATCAACGTTTCTAAAAAATAAAAAGAAAATTAATTTAGTTTTTTTTTAAAAAAAAAAAAATCACTTCTATATGAAAGAAGTACATTCATTTGTCTAAAAAGATCTCGCGCTTTTGAAAGTTGTTTCAATTAGTAATGATTTTAGTATTTATGGATATTAATTTTCTGGTATCTTATTTTAAGATAAAAAATAAAACAAATGACAATACTTTCTTAGTTTTATTTGTTTATACGTAATAAAAAAGGGCAAGTGATTAAAGTCTTAAGAAAATTATTAAAATATATTGATGCATAGTAAATCCTACGCCAGAATCGCCAGATGGCTCTTTAGAAAATTTTCTTACACCTTATCATGGGCCAAAATTTTGGTATATATAATATTTTAGTTAGTCAAAACTTTTTATACAAGTTTTTTATATAAAAGACTAAAAAAATTGGTATGATAATATTAATTTTAGCTAGAATCATAAACTCGAGCGTTAATTCTGGCCAAAATTAGGAATAATTAAATTATAAGACTTTGGATAATTCCAAAACTTCGGTTAATCAAAAAAAATTTTTTTTTATTATATTTTATAATAAGCAGTACATTGATAAAATTCGGTTGTAAATTGTAATATACTTTCGTATACTTTCGGTTAATCCATATTTGGCACACCTTTTATTCGGTATCACGTGATTTTTATAATTATTCGACACGAAGTGCCGAATAACTATTTAATATCAAGATTATACCGTACTTTCTTCATGTTTTCTTATTAATTTTTGTTGTATATTTTAACTTTATTTTAATTGAATTTTCATTACTTCAATTTTTTATTTAATTTACTTTTTCATGTGCATTTCATGAAATAAAAAAGCCTGCTGCGTTACTCCGTTTGATCACTATACACTTGTATATACCAATACAAATCAACATTTATAGATTAAAGAATTTATTTGTTATTCCCATAAAATAAATATATTAAAATTTGATTAATAATTCTACCACAAAAAAAAAGAAATTTTTATTGAATAAATTATAAATTAATTCATAAATAAATAAAATTATCAATTTATAAGAATTTACCAATATAAACTATTTTGTTTTGAATGATGACAATGTAAATTATTGAAAATTAAAAGAATTATAAAAAAAAAAATTCTCAAGTTTCTAAAAATTTAATTATCGTCTTCTTGAATCTGATCGTCATCTTGATTGAGATCTAATTTAAATAAATTGTAAAATATTAATCTTGTATTGCATTTAAAAAAAAAATTATAAAAAATTATATAATTTACCTAATTCATCTAATTCGCAATCCAAACATTGTGAAACTATGAATTAAAATAATAATAAAATTAATAATAGTAAAATTATAATATTATTATTATTACATATATATACTATATAAAATATACTTACTTGTTGAAAAAATAAAAGTATATAATAGTTTAATAAAATTTATTTTATTTAGCATTTTTCTTCAAAAAAAAAAAAATAAATACATATATATACCTTGAAATGTTGAATTTACAGGTTTTGGAAGATTTTCGAAATTTAAAAGTCTACTAGTATAAATTGCTTGTGGATGTGTTTGAACATTTTTAGCAATATTTTCCTTATTTTTCTTAAAATTGCTTCTTAATTTCTTCTCTCTAATTATATCACATTTTTTTACTTGAAAATAATAATTATCTTCTTTATTATTAGTTTCATTATATGAATTTTCTGTATTATTAAATATATGATCATTAGGTGTTCCATCATGCAATTTTCCCAGACTTTGATATAATTCTTTAGCAGTTGGTCTATTTTCTGCTTTAGAGTCCCAACATTTGATAATTAAATCTGTAATTAATTTTGGTATAACTTTAGGAATTTCTGGCCTGAATCCTTTACATATTTTGACAGCCAAAATATGATCATGAGGAATATCAACATAAGGAATATTTTCTGACATATATTCATTCATTATTATTCCGAATGAGTAAATATCTGCTGCTTTTGTATACTGATATCCGCATAAAACTTCTGGTGCCATATAAGGTAATACTCCATAAACTCCTTCTTGCTTTTTATTATTTGTTGGTTGACACATTCCCAAATCACTAATCATCGGATAAACTGAATTATTAAATAATATATTACCTGAATGAAAATCTTTATGAATTAATCCAGCATTATGTATATTTAAAAGTCCTCTTGTAATACGTCTTAAAATACCTAATTTCACTTTGCAGCTCACAAATGAATTTGATTCATTTAATTCATCTCAAATCTCCTCTTTCACAATATTCTAAAACCATCATATAATCTTTAGTATTTGGATCTTGAGTTATTCCAAAACATTTAACAATAAATGTAAAATGATCTGAAATATAAGATTTAATCTATAATAAATTATTATATTAATTTAATACAAATAAGAATTTAAAATGTATTAATATGAAGTTTATATCAATTACCTCATTTAAAAATTCTGAATTTATGTCAGATGAATCATCTAAACTTTTTAATGCAACTTTGACACTATATCTACTCCATTTTTGATATTCAGTATCCCAATAGTAAATGTATCCTTTAGACCAGTCAGCCGAATAAATTTTACCTAAACCACCTCTAGTAATATATTTAACATTTTCAAAATTTTCAAAAGGTATCCATTCAAGACATGAATAGCATTACATTGTGATTTTTGTATAAATTCATCAATATCTTTATTTCCGCTGTGACACGCCGCCCATAGGATATTAAAATAAAATATCGTATGTTGCCACCGACGTGTTGAGTTCGTATAGAATTTATGCTTGGTTTTAAGATAAAAATTAGTTACAAAAATTACAAAACATTATTTCTTACCGAAATTTAAAATTACGATAGTTTCTCTATATTTTCAATAAACCATTAATTAAAATAAAATAATTAATGTGGCACTTTTTGCTCATAAGAAAAAGGCTAAAAGAATGTGTTTGTTTATTATTAAGGGCGAAATAAAATTTTTATTTTTTTTTCAAAAAAATTGAACTGCGGAATTTCCTATCGAAATCCACTTGTATTTATACATTTTTAAGAAAAATATTTCTAATATTTCTAATAAAATTTGAAGATCTAATATCATATGACTATCTCGTTACACTAAACTAAACTATAAATATAATTTTATTGGCTAATTATTTATCCATCGGCTAAATATTTATCCGTCATTTTACTGCGCCATGTGACTTGTCACGTGACTTTTGTATTCCAAACTATTTCTTCTTGTGTAACCATATCATGTGACCTACTGCGCCACAGGATTTACTGCGTCATTTATTTATTATATTTTCAGTTATTACACCGCTAGTCCAATTTTTAAAGTTTTCTTCAAATCTTTTAGAATTACAAGGTTGACACCACATAAATCCTGTGCCTGGTTCATCGGCATTCTCCACATATTCCATATACTTGTTTTCTTTTTTCTAAATCTTTCATAAAAATTACTTTTTCAGTCATATCTTCAGAGTTGGTAAGTGAATTAATAGTAACATGTTCCTTTTAAAATAAATGATTTTAATAAATACAATTAACTGTTAATGAAAACTCAAAAGTATTAATATTTATAATAATAATTATTTTTACCTGATAATCATCATTAGGATACGATTCCCATAACTGAAGAGATTTTAAAATTATCATATATTCTTTAGTATTTGGATCTTGAGTTATTCCAGAAAAACAATTCTTAACCTAATATAAATTATGAGAAAAAAAAATTTTTTTTTTTAATAAATACAAATTTTAACTGTTAAATAATTTAAATATTAAATATAAAATAAGTTTAATTTATTTTATTTAAATTTACCATGTTTAAAGAATCTGTATTTTTAAAATATGAATCATCAATAGCTTTAAATGCAATTTTGGTTTTATTAGATCTACCCCATTTTTGATTTTCGATATCCCAATATTCAATTTTTCCTTCAGACAAGTAAGCTTTGTAAAGTTTATGACCATTACTCATGGTAACATAAATAACATCTTTAATACTTTCAAAAGGTACCCACTCAAGACATTTTTCATAATGTACGGCATTACATTGTGATTGTTGTATAACTTCATCAACAACTTCACTTCCACTAGTCCAATTTTTAAAATTTTCCTTAAATCTTTTAGCGTTACAAGGTTGACACCACATAAATCCTGTTCCTGGTTCATTACATTCTCCACATATTCCACATACTTCTTTTCTTTTTTCTAAATCTTCCATAAGAATTTCTATACCTTCCAAATCGTCAGCTGAATCGATTTTAACATGTTTCTTTTTTAAAAATAAAGAGATCCAAAAAAAAAAAAAAGTTATTATTTGAAATTCATATATTATTTTACTGCATATTCATATTAATTATTTTTACCTGATAATCATTATTAGGATATATTTTCCATAAGTTTTTAATGTTAGTTTTAGAATTATTATTTATGGTAGTATCCATTTTTATAAAATTATTACTATCTCAAATTGATAATTATCACTAGTTAATATCTTTAATTTTATTATTGTTATTATAATTTTTTTTTTTAAAAAAAAAAAGGGAAATAACTTGATTTAATTGAAAACGTTTTAATACCATTTTGTGCCTCGGAGTCAAAAAAAATCTTGTGCGACGATCAGTTCATTGTATTTACATTATTTAATTTGCATAATTTTGCACAAAATAAAATTGTAACCCATACTGATTACTGAGAATTATTTTTTTTCTTTTTCGAACCTTAATTCGGATTTTTGTGTTTTCGTTAAAATTTTTTTTAAAAAAAATGAAGTTCTTTTTTAAGAATTGTGTAAATTTGCGTAAATAAATGTAACTTGCTTTATTTTAGAATTTTTTTTGATACTTGTTGTACGAATATAGAATTGTCACACAACATGAATTTTTTTCTCACGGGAAGCCTTAGATATCATTGATCATCATGGCGGAGCCGTGAGATCCCTGAAATAACTGGTTATTACTACGGAAACTAACGTTCCGTATACTGATAAAGCTTTTTAGCTTATCCTTTTAAATAAACATCACCCCATAAAAATATCAAATAAGGAAAATCACGGACGACTATCAGAAAACGCGGTATAAAAGGAGTTATTTTATCAATTTGCTTTCCTACTTAATTATGGATTTACCAAAATACACTGGAACAATTCATCCTGAAGAATGGGTAAAACAAGTACAAATTTATTGTTACTTAAAAGGAATTGAAAATGAAGAAAACATTATTAAATTTTCTAAGCTCATGATAGATTCCACTATAATAATTCCTAATGTTAATGAAATTAATTCTTTTGAAGAACTTATTAAAGCTCTTAAGTTACATTCGACCTTCAGTATTTACAAAAATTCATGCAAAAGAAAATTACAATTAATAAAGTACATTCCTGAACAAGAAGATGTCACTACATTCCTTGCTACTTTTCGTTCACTTTGTGTGGAAATTAGTGATCATAAAGAAATTATAACCATGCTTATTAATTCATATTCAAACTACTTCTTTAAAGATGAATTTATAAAAAGAGTAGAGGGTATTAATTCTGTAGATGAAATATTCAAAATATTTAGTGAGGTTGTAACATTTGACGAATCAAAAATTATAATTAAATTTGGGACTTCAATTGCTCTGAAACATGTTGCAACAGGAAAATATTTATCAAGTTATAATGTTAATTATCTAACAGGTTCCGGTCAACGAGTGGTATGTATTTATACAATAATTACATTTCAATTATTTAATCAACTTACGTCATTTTATTTACAATTTTTTTTATATTTTAGGTATTTGCTGGTGAAGAATTACCAGATAGAAATGCTTTATGGCATGTGACATGTAATAATACTAATCACAACTACCAGCATTACCAGCATTGTACTTATGATGATAGCTTTTATCTGACTCATAAAGAAACCGGTAATAAATTATACATAAGTACTACTCATAAATCTCCTACAACTGGACAATTAGAAGGTATATGTAAGCGTTAATAATATATAAAAAACTATTTTTAATAATTATTTATTTATTTACTGTATTTATTTTACAGTAAGTTGTAGAAATAATGAAGCTCGTTCTCTAAATTGGATAAATACTAATACAACAAATAATAACGCACCTTACGTAAAAGCAAAAGATGTAATTACTTTAAAATATGGTGATTATATTTTTCGTAGTCATGATTTCACATTTACAATTGGAAATAAAACTTTTCAAGAAGTTGTTTGTCACAAAGAAAGAATTGGTGGAAATGATGAGGTATTTAAATTTAATTTAATTTACTAAATATTATCTTCGTATGTATTTATTTATTTATTTATAATTTTTTATTTACAGTGGCAAATTGAAATTGTTTAAAATGATCAAAAATTTATTTTTGATTATTATTACTAGTTATATAGCCATAGAATTTATATTATCGACTGGTTTAAAAAATTCATGATTTCGAGAGTCAATATGGATTATCTAGGCCATTTTATAAAGTAAAAAGTAGTATATTTTAAAATAGTTTATTTTTTCTATTAATGATATGAAATAAAAATTTGCCTATGTCAATTAATGGACAATCAATTATAACTGATTACAATAAACTAATAATTACGTGTTTAAAAAATTTTTTCCTTTTTGCCTAAAGAGAAACTGTAAGTGAATCGATCATTAACTGGTAAAGCAGCTATTTTATGAATAAATGTGCCTACATTATTAGGCTGTAAATCTGAGATGATGAAAATATTTTATTAGTAGTAGTTAACAGATATGTAAAATATCTTTATAGTTTATACCATAATTATACTGAAATTACATTCTCCTATAATAGAAAGTAAAATTTTATCATTATATTAAGTTTTTAACATAGGTATATCAAGGTCTGACTGTGTAAATCGATTCAATTTGAGTAGATTCTAAATAATGCTCCAAAATATAATTTTATATCTTGTTAGAAATACTTAGAATTAGAAGGTCAAGTTGACCGGAAATTTAATAGTCCATATAAATCTGGTTGATCGGCTCTATCCAATCCAAAAATTGATTTCGGTAATTTGCATACCCCATTTAATTCTCTCAATGAATCAGTGAATTGCATGTTCAATAATAATTTTTTTTATATAAGATGAATAATTCATTTTCCTGTAAATACTCTTAAAAAAATATATTTCATTCATACGTAATGTCTCAATAATTTCTTCGTCAACGTTTCTTTTAAACTGCGACACGTCATGCTCAGAGAAAATATACTATAATGGCTGAATAAGAAAAAAAGTTAAAAATCTGTTGCATACATCAGATCAATGAAAATTTTATATAAATAAATCAATTAAAAAGAAACATGAAAATAGAAGGCTCGCCTTAAAAAGAAATAATAAAGATCATCTGAAAAGAAAGAAAAGCTCTTGAGATAGATCATTTTCGGTTTAATCTTAGTTATATTTATGCAAAAATATTTTTTTATAATCATGATATTGCGTTTTAGTTTTTTTGAAATTTCAGAAGTCCTTCGAAACTATAGTTTCGAAAATTTAAAGTTTTGAGACAAAAAAAAACTTTAAAACGCAATATCTCCTTAAAAAGACCGACGGTCTTATTATATGTGATACAGGACCGAAAAACCGCAGTCCTACACTAAGACGGACCGGTCCGTCTTTTTATGGTGTAGGACCATAGGACCGCGGTCTTTTTGGACCGATGACCATCTTTAGTGGGAGGGGGGGCCGGGTTTCCTGGGTGAATTTTCGGAAAATTCCGGCTTAGTTGATCCACTTGATTCTCCTACATTGCAATTATTTATTTGTAGAACGTTAGAACGTTATTACTAAAGAAAAAGTGAAATCAGATTAGTGTTGTTATATCATACCAATAAAATAGTTCTATGGGTACATAATCAAGTCTTTTCCAGAATTTTCCACCGAATTCTTCGTCTTATCAACTTCTTTTGTATCCGGTCAATATCCACCCAAAATGTTTTTTCCGTTTTGATGGAAGACATTCAGTATTTCGTTGTTTAGAAGATAGTTCGGTCCAGTTGGTAGATGACATTTTTTACATGATGAGAAATGTTAATCAAAAGGCTTTTTTATAAATGAGGTGTTAGATCAGACCGAGGTTGATTAATTTGATTAATTTGATAATGGTAGCTACAATCTTTCCTATATTATTATCATTATAATTTTCTTGCTCATTAATACATGTATTTAGGAAATAGGCTCTTTATTGCCTATTTCATTTAGTCTTTTCAGGAATTTCTACCTTTGCTTAAAAGTAAGAGGAATGACAAATGACAACATCATGGCGTAATGAATCCCTCATCTGAGTACTTATCCAGCTTTCTTTGAGCTCTTCAACTCCATGATTGGTTTGAGTTCGTAAAGTCCGGATTTACGGATTAGTTTCTCAGAGAAAAGCTCTACCCATAACTTGTACTCGGATCTTTATAACATCTGACTCATTAAATTTTAATGTGAGATTTAAGGAATTTTTTGACAAATTCAGAAACCATACTTTAGTATCATCGGGACTTTATCATCATCTTCAGATGGAAAAATAAAAAAGATCGCATATTAATTTCTCATACTACTAGTCCAAATTTATCATCATCCTTACCATAAATTATAGAATTGACAGAACTTCTCCATTATTACCTCGATGAAATTTCCGATTGTCAATAATTTGTGTCACAGTATTTCCTGTCGCGACCATTTATTGCCTTACAGTACTTAAATTAAAAGAAAATATTAGTCTGAAAATTTTACTAAGCATACCAGATAATAATCATTACCTGTAATGACTTAATCTGAAAATGTGAGCAGTCACGTTTCATATTACTGTTCTTCAGTTTCTTCAGTGTATTTCTCTAGTATTAGCAATATAAAATAACAGATTTAGAACATTTGTATCGAACCATAGAGTTCGTCACTGTAGAACTAAAAATTACAGCTTGCACTCAAGCGTCGAATAAGGTGGTTCATTACTGTGGACTAAGAGTATCACTAAACTAGGAGTAATTGTGAGTGTCACTAGAACTAAAAGTTCCCGATTTCGCCACGTTTTTGAGATCTTTTTTTATATTCGATCTTTTCTCTCCGTCTGAAGGGAAGGGATTGGAGGTATTGGAAGTAGAAGACCGTGTTCAGATAAAAGATACAAATACTTTAGAGTACGAAAAAAAAACTAGCTATGTTGTTGACATATTTTATACCTATATGCTATTGTGATAAGTCTTAAACTTCGAGAAATCATCTTACCACGTCTTTATATCTCATTAGTATCACGTGATGTCGCGTTTCTTTAACTGATCTAAACCTGTCGATCGATAATAATAAGGTATTTGAAACTACATTTCAATTTGGCGCATAAACACAGTATTTGTAATTCATATACTTTCATATTTATAAAAATTTCATGAATATTTCTTTTCTATTTATTATTATAATATTCTTACTTCTTAGTACGTCTAATTCTTTTTATACATTCACTAATTTCTTAGTAGCGGTATATCTTTCACCAATAATTTCAAAAGAAATAGTTATTTGCCTAATTTCAGATAATTCTTCGGAACTAAGTTGAACTTTTACTACTTCAAGATTTTCCTAATATTTAATATTTTTCGTATCAGGAATAGTAACAATATTATCATTCTATAAAAAAAAAGAACGTAGATTATTATTAATATATTTAAAATTAGGAAGAACAGAATTATTGAATTATAATTTACCTGAAGTAGAACCAAAGTCAGACAAGTTAGCCTGCTGTTAAGCCTTTCTTACCTACAAATTCACATAAATTATCTGCAAGTTCTAGATTTTTAGCAAAATTTTCAGGTTGAAACAAGGATAAGTTCTTCTAACATCTCCCGATTCAAAATCATCGATGGATCAATATTTCCCTAAAATTAATAATAATAATAATAAAATATTAATTAAACTATATCTGATATCATTAAATAAATATTATTAGGAATCCATCTCAAATACTTCGTTTCCATAATTCCAATCGTTTCGATATCAAGGGTCCGAGGACTATATTCAATCTAATAAAGCGTATTTAAGTATTTTGAACAGTGGCAATAAGATGAACTTTATGAACGCGAAAGTATTGTTGCAGAACATCCGGAAAGATCAATTTATTTACCTTTCCTTAACAAGTTCTGCTAAAGCGCCAAGAGTATTTTCAATAGGTCTATAAACAAGATATTCGAAATATTAATTATTTATTTCAACTTTTAAAAAAATAAAACCCTAGTTTATACTTACGTTTCAGGATCCACACGATGTTGATTATAAAGATCGATGCAAGCTTTACGAACGTATGCCACCATTTGGATTTTGATCTCGAATTATACCAAACAATGTATAAACAAACGCCTCGTCACGACAGTCCTTAAGAATTTCTGAAATGGGAATCTCGTCTGCACCACACCCATACGCATCCTTTTTTACATAAAAATCATAGGTTAGATATATTTGCATTAAAAGTTAGAAATTTTTTAGATATGAACGGAAGTATCCCAAAAGTTACATCCTAATAGTAATACTAATGCTCGATTCAAAATTTAATATTTCTTGTTCGTCAATTAACCGATGAACCGTAAAAATCACTCATACCCTATTATTTAGAATCGAAAAGGAAAAATTTTAGCGTTATTTTAATTTTATTTGATTATTATAAACATACCATACATCCCAAGCCAATTACGGGAATTTTACACCAGTTTTTTCAGAGAAAGGGCCATTTTTGCGATTAGGGAGTAAAATCATTTAAATATGCGGGGATGATGATTGCCGAAAACTGAACTATGTGCAACCTTATAAATAATTTTTAAAATTGACTAGTATACTTCTAGATTACGTAAATAGTGTTGCGTATTGCAATACATCAGGAGAAATAATTTATGGGTGTTGCATTTTTAACAATCAATATAAATACTACCGTACAATACTACATATCCATTGAACGATTACCATAATATTTTGTTACAGATACGATCAAATTATTAATTAGAAAATTAAAAAATTCATAAAATTGACTACTCATATAATATTTTATGAACATATACAGTATATTTTAAATATGTAAGAACTAAAACCCGAAAATCGATTTAACAAGTTCTGCTAACGCGCCAATAGGTTTATAACCAAGGTATTCAAGATATTAGTTTATAATTACCGTAATTATTAACAAGAAAAAAAGTATCTAGTTCCATACTTACAGTACGTTTAAGGGTTGGCGATAAAGAACGATATGATCTACTCTAAATCTTTTTTACAAACATACTCAGATACACTTACTACAATTGTATCTTTACATTAACATTTGAATTTCGAATTATACCAAAATTTTCACGAATAAACACTTCATCACGACACACCGATGTAAACTTGTAACATGTTCAATTTTTAAAATTTTTATTCAAAAAAGAAAAAAACGAAAATAAAATCAAAAAGCAATGTAAGACTGGTAGGTAGCAAGTCATGATTGATATTTTGTAAATGTTACAAGCTGACAATAATCTACGTATTTAAATGTTTTCCCTATTTTCAGAGTTCTTGAAAATGAAAACTTGCGAAAAGTGACCTTCGGGCGGTAAAGTAAATGAACCCCGATGATACCGCATTAGTAATTGAATGGAATTATTCCAAATTCGTGGATCAATATGGCAACATGAATCCTACTTGTGGTCGTAATGGAGATTCTAATTACACTAAGGTGCATACGTTTATTTCGTAGCCTACATCATTTATTAATCCTAGAAATTTTATATTCATAATTTAGTATGATGGGTGTGCCAAATCCATCTCCAACTAACAAATTCGGCTGAAACACACAATCCAGCCTGGCCGGCAATTGTTGATTATATTGTGAATCACCATGGTGTAAATTTGGATATTTTCTTTTATTTCCAAATGATTTTTAATTTCCTGAGTATGTTCATGGTCTCATCCATGGTATGAAAAATTTCATTTTCGCTAATAAGACGACGTCGTTATTACCATGATCAATTTAATGAGACGCGTCTTCAAACACAGGGTACTCTGTGGCAGCTAATCTCTGATATATATATATATAATAATTATGATCTCAACGTTATGACGGCACAATGCCGCACTAAGCGGAACACGCTTGTCGTCGGATATGAAAATTTAAAGAGACTACTAAACGATAACCCGGAGAGGTATCGGACATATACGCCATCATTCTACGATCAACGATTCATTCTGGTATTTCGTATACAACGATACAGGGATGATGTCTTCTGATAAGTCTAATAAGGATATTGAGAACGTCGATGAAATCATCGGTAGTTGATCGGTAAAACTCAGCGTGCGCATTTCAATGATTAAGTTAACTCATTTTACAATTGAATTATTTTTCTTTTACTCATGAGTTACATTTATAATACATATTACAGATATAACTGTATTCCGGACATTGCGCCGTAAAAGGAGCACTGCTACATGGTTCTTCCAATCTCCCGTCCAATATTCACTGGTTCAAAAAAGGGTATGACTATTATTGAAACGTGCAAATACAAATTCAAAAAAGAGGCCAGACCTGAGTTGAATAGTAGAATATCTCTAGGTAACACCATGCAATAAAGATTGTATAAATAAAATTTTCTGATTTATTTTTTTAATAATGCCAATAGATCGCTATAGATCTTTTGAAATTTTTTTTTTAAATTTTTTTTTTTCTAATAATAGGTACAGTTAAAACACGAAAATCGGATAATCAGCAATTACGAGGCAAAGGAGGTCCGACCGAAGCAAGCATATTATCATTAAATATGAGACAATGAGAAATTATATAGAAAGTTGTTATTTTTATGCATATTAAACTATCTTCTGCGACAATCAGCCGTAGAGCTTAGATCCGGATTATCCGTTGATATTCACTGAATATGTCCGTTCAAAGATTATAAATCCGGATATCCGGATATCAATTCTAAATATTAATCCGGATGGTAAAATCCGGATATTCATAGGATATTCATTGAGTTATTTTTAAATTTTATTCGTATCCTGATTATGGCCACCAGATTCTAAAAAGCTGAATTATTGTTGTTATTTCGTCATCTATATTTTGACATTTATCAAAATCTAGGTAATTCTCAATATTACTATCTACTGTACTTCTATTATATTACAGTAGACATCCTGTTTCTTTAAGCTAGTATTTTTTTTTTTTGAAATAACTCTAGACTACTTATTCAGATGGGAACGTTAATTAAACTAATCTCTCCAAAAAAAATACATATGGGATTAATATTAAGTAATATTCCATTGTTAAAATTTTATTACATCATGTTTACATTATATTTACATCATATTTACATCATATCCTAAGATATCCGGATTATATTCAGTGAATATCCTATTTTCTTAAGCAAAATCCGGATATCCTATTGTCACGGGAATTTTTTATATAGTTATTCTTATATGATTTATTTTTTTATAGTATATTTTATTTATTTATTTATTTATTTATATTTAGTTTATTTTATTTTTATTTGATATAGTTTATTTATATAGTATAGTTTATTTTATTTATATAGTTTATTTATACAATTTATATATATAGTTTATAGGAAATGTGGCGTATGGCTTGGTGGGAATCAATTATGGCTGTGATGGGCGATTCGTACAATGGACAATTTGACCGGAAAACGAGTTGTACTTTGGACGATTTGAATAACGGGCGAGTTGGCCAAAGCACTAATCGTCCCAAATTTTGAATAATATTTAAGGGAAGAAATTCCGCTGAGGTTTCGGGGAAGTGATTTTTCGATTATTAACACTTAGATAGAACCTTGGGAATATTACAGAGCGCCGGCAGAGGCAGTAATATTAGGAAATTCTTTTGTAATTGTTAATAAAGAACCCGCCAATCACTCCAATTTTATACATTTCGTTATTGTTTTTATTGTCAATTTTATTTCCGATTGTTATACATTCAATAAATATACATTGTTTATAAATCTATTGCTAATTGTTGATAAACCCTACCCATTTCCTCACGATTTATTGCCGATTACTGCCTATTATTAGTCAAATTCTATAAATTAACCCGTATATATTTCTGTTACTGCCCTCCCGAACTACACAAATCGGTGATAACAACTTGGTGCTCCTTATAAGGATCGGCCCTTACTATTTTGTATGGTCGATTACGAGATATTATTTACGCAGAACCGAATACATAACCGTTGGCATCGCCTTTATAAC